CCCCCCCCCATGCTTGCCCGGTAGCGCACGCAGCGGCAGGAGACACCCGGTCCCCTCGCCTCCCCAAACAAGCTGCTCAAGGCTTCATCCTGCCCTGGCTAGGCAGCACCTGTTGGCGCCCCTTTGCTTCAGTGTCGGGGGGGGGTGTCACCTCACTGCCCCTTGCTACGGCACTGGCAGAGCTGAGGCAGATAACGGACTTCAGGGCTCATCGCCACCTACCCTGTCCATTCCTTCCAGACTCTTCTACCGGCGTTACCCACCCTCGCTACTTTCTAACGAGCTGGGCCGTGGCACCAGCCCAGCCAGCAAGCGTTTTCTCCACGGGAAGCTCCTATTTCACAGCCTATTTTTTAACTCGTGCCAAACGGAGCTCTACTGGTTTCTTCAACTGCCCACAACCTTAAATACATCTGCAGGCAGTGCTGCTCCACCTTTCTGGCAGGATCTGGCTAGTGGTCCCCAAGTGTGTATGTGTGTGGCGCCAGCGGCGGCCCCGAAGTGTGAGATACTGTGTGTGGTGACCCCGAAGTGAGTGTGTGCGTGCCGGTATTTAACCGCAGGGCTAGGGAGGGGGAGGTCACAGTCAGCCTCACAAGGCGGCTGTAGTGCGCAGCTGCGGCTAACGCATGGTTTCCATGGCGATGGGGCCTGCGTCACCTTCCTCGCCATGCCCAGGGCCAGGTAACGGGGCGAGGGCCCCGCACCCCCCCCCGCGCTCCTTCCCCTGGGGACGAGCGCGCGGGGAGAGGGGGGGCTCAAACCCCAACGGTCGCCGGGGCGGGGGGGAGGGGCCGATAGCGAGTGCCTGCGAACCCCAACGGCCCCCGGGGGTGGGGGAGGGGACGTTGGCTAGTGCCCCCCTTTCTGACGCCGCTGTCCCCCCGCAGCGAGGCGCTGTGGGAGCTCGCCCAGGCCGAGGCGGAGCGGGGAGGAGACGCGGAGGGCGCCGCCGAGAAAGCCCTCCTGTTCCTGGGGAGTAAGGCCGGGGTACGTCGGACTGCCAGGCGTGCGACAGTTCATCTGTTGTACGGAGGGGCAGCGCTAGGACGAGCGCTCCAAATGCAGGGTCATTTTTGAAGGCAGCGTGGGCAAACAGTGCAGTCCCTCTCAGGGAGCCTTTGCTGAAGGGTGGGCTGTCTGTCTGAGGACGGCTGGCCTCCAAATCGAGAAATGCTTCAGCTCGGGGGACCCGTTGTCACTCACCCAGCAGTGTAAAGTACATAAAGCTGATTTGCACACTGATATGCACACTTTTTCACCGCACTATAGTTTTCCAGCAAATATCGCTTTGAGCTTCCAGTACGATCACTTCATATGTAAAACCGGACAGGGCTTGGGCACGCCGTGCCTCGCCTCGTGCTGACCGACTGCTTGCGGGTGGGTTGTTGTTTTGCCTGGCTGGCGCCTCGTGCTGCCGGCGGGGAAGCGTGGGAAGGCCCCGTGGGAGGCAGGGCCCCTGACAGGCTCGTAGCTGTAGGGAGCAGGCAGGCTTGCCTCTGCCCGTACTCTGATGAGGGGAGCCTCAGTCTGAGAAAGCTGGTGTGCTCTCCACAGCCCTCTCGTCTCCCCGGGGGAGTCTGGCAGAGCCGCAGGGCCTCAGGCTAGCTGTGCTTCTGGCAGCTCTCCCACAGGCACTGACCCCATGGGTGCTCCAGGGCTCAAGTAGCCGCCAAAAAAAATTAGCGGGGGCTCAGTGCTTGCAAGCCAGGTTGCAGTAATGTGCTGTCTCTTCTGGCACAAAAAAAAACACACCCACGGGTGCCTGTGATCTCTCTGCTGTGTGAGTAGGGTTGCAGCGAGATGGGTACATACAGAGAGTGCAAGGTTTGGTGGGTGGAAGCTCAGGGAAACTTGAGCACTTGCACATGCTGGCTCACTCTGTCTCTTTCTCTATCTGTAGTTAGCCTATAAGATGCAAATCTGCCCTGCCTCCAACTCAACTTAAGCTGCATCCAACTTTCCTGGGCCATGGGACAGATCCTGCATGGGGTTGGTTCATGGGTGCAATCCAGCATGCTGGCTGACTCAGCCCCACACAAAGCCAGACACTGTGTGCCCAGATATGGGTGTGGTATGAGCCTTTGCATAGGCTCAACTACACATCAGTATGATCTTGGGTGTGGGGCCTCGTGATCTGGGCTGTTGGGCTCCCTACAGGTCCAGAAATTTGGCAGCTGCCACTGCTGTCCTGCCACTGTATTTCTAGACCTGTGGGCCAAATGACTTTGCTCTTTGGACTAGATTTGGCCCACCCCGGTTAAAGACTAACAGAAAGCAGGGTAGATTTCCACCTAATAGACCAGGGGTGGGCAAAATACCACCCATATGCAGTCCACCAATTGATCCTATCCAGCCTGCCAGCTGCTGCCAGGAACTGGGGCAAGGAGGGCTCCGCTCTGTGCTGCTCTGCCCTGCTAAAGATGGTGGTGGTCCCTAGTCACATAGCGCATAGACTCTTCCATCCCCTCCCTCCTCCAAGTCTGACTTCCTGTTGGCGCTCGCTGTAGCTGCGCAGTCCTGGATCTGTGGTTGCCAGCAGCCAGGCCCATGTGGGATGGGGCATGATATAGCATGCTGAGAAGCCATTCTGCCCACCTGTGACGAAGAGCTATTGCCACTGCTAGGATACAAGTCTGTGCCAGCCACAAGGTGGGGTTTGACCGCCACCAACTTTGCTAGTGCAGCAGCAGTGGCTCCTCACAGTGGGCAGGATGGCTACTTGGCACAGTGCATCACACCCTGTTCCATGTGGGCCTGGCTGACTGTGCAGAGTCAACAGGAAGCTGGGCAAGGGGATTGAATGCAGGGGGCAGAGGAATCTGAGTGCTGCCTGGCCTAGCCTTGGCTGCAGCAGAACAGAGGGGTGTGGGGCAGCCCCCACCCCCAGACTCTCGGCAGCGGCTGACAGGCCAGACAGACTCAATTGGCACCCCCTGCCCCCAGCTCTCAACAGCTCACCAAAACTTGTCAAGTAGCCCTCCAACCCAAATAATTGCCCACCCCTGTAATAGACTAACCAAAGTAGATATATGGCACAAGCTTTCATGGACTGAAGCTTACTTCAGCAATTGTGAGCTTCAACCCACAGAAGCTTGTGCGATCTCTCTGTATGTACAGAGGGAGAAGGGGAAGGAAGGAACAGAGGCTCAAGAAGAGGGGAGTAGAGGCTGTGGGGGGGCATGCAGTTGGCAAGGGGGCAGGCATAATTGGGGGACAAGTTTGACCTTCCCACATCACTTGCCTGCTCCAGTGCAGTGGTAGAAAGGATGAATTAAAGATGACTCTCCAATAATTAGGTTCTATACATGGGAAAATTATAATACTTCTGTAAATTTTCCATGTATAAAATCTAATTATTACCTTAGTAATAAGTATTAGTATTACCTTACATCCTTTCAGGTAAGTATTAGTTACCTTACATCCAGGTAACTACGATATTTAAGTGTTGGCAGTCAGGACCTTAAACTGGATACAGTATTGGTCTGCTGTCCTTCTGTATTTCTGTAATTACTGATCTTCCAATGCTTAAAACAAATTTGGTCTTGGTAGGGTAACTAAGACTGTACTTGCTTTTTCATCTTTGTGAGAGAATTGAAGCATGTATGTATGCTTCATTTTTAGTACAGAAAAATGAGATCATCCTCTGTTTTAGAACGTTAAGAACAGATAAGTGGATTTTTGCAGATGTATGGATTTGTAAGAAATGTTGTTAATCAGTCTCTGATATGTGTTTACAAATAGGGAGCCAATTTTACAAGTTCAAGGACCTTTTTTAAATTAAACTGTCCTCAGCCTGATTCCTCATCTAAAAATGTGCAGTTTTATGGGATGTTTATGTATGTTTCTTGAATTCTTTTTATTTCCATTTCATCAATCATAATTTGAGCAAATTCACTGGAAACCAATCATTACATTAATCTATTATTAGGAATTAGCAACGGTTAGACAGTTTAATACAGTTGGCCAGATTGATTACTAAAGTAATATCTGATTTTAAGTATCCTGTTGTTGTTACTGTATTTGTCATATTCAGTAGTTTATAATTATAATAATAGCAGTGTAGCTACATTCTGATAGGAAGCTGGCAGTTAACTTTCCAGTAATCATACTAGGAATCACTGTATAAGTTTATACTCTTCAGCTATTTTATTATTGGAATGTTAGAAAAATGTGTTATGTTATATTCAGTGATATAACTTTTATGCTTTAATGACATTACAATAGTGTTCTTCATTGTTTTTAATTTTCAGGGAAAGACTACTATTATACTGAGGTGTCTTGACAGGTATGTGTTAAATTTTGAAAAGTATTTTGCAGCTCTGGGTACTCTAATGCTGAATATAATCAACAATATTTTCATAGTAATGTTAGAAGGAATATTTCCTGCCAAAAATTTTTTTTGTTTAAAACACTGGTGACATACAGGTTTAATTTTCTAATTAATGACCTGTTAGACCAGCGGTGCCCAACCTTAATGGGGTGTGGGCCAGGTAAGTGATGCAACATGTGTCTGTGGCCTGGATCTGGTGCATGGGATCAATCCATGGACCCAGTCCAATTTCAGGGTTGGCATGATCTTGTATATGGTCCAAGCCCTGTGCACTGGATCAGGCCCCCTGCCCTGACCCTGCATGCACCAGATCAGACTCCAGCCCCTCTTGTACAGTATCAGGCCCACAGCTCCAAGTCTGTGTACCAGCTCAATCTAGCACACAAGGTCATGTGGAGCTTGGAAATTTGGTGGCTGGTGAGTAACCGCAGGGTGAATTGCTATCACATCCCCCTGCCAAATTTTGGACCTGTGGAGAGCCCTGTGGACCGGGTGACAGAGCTCTGTGAGCCGGATATGGCCCACAGGCTAGAGGTTGAGCGCCACTGTGCTAGATAGTTTGTCAAGACTTGAGGATGATCTTCAAATATCTGTAACATACTTTTAGTAAAATATTTTGGGTCAGACTTCCAGGCCCACATACTATTGTTATTGTGTGTGCACAATGCTGACATTTTAGTCTTCTGTGTCTCTTGGGTAAAGGTGAAGGAGCTAACACTTGTTGTATGTCTTAAAGTACTCTTTCTTTACATGGTTGTTCCCAAGCCAACTTTTTTACTGTTTGGGTAGTACATAGAATTGGCTTACGGCAAAAATAATTGTATCTGAAGTATCATCAAAATTTTTTGACAGAACGTAAGGATGTGATATGTAATGTGTATTCATTGTTAGGGAGGAAATTCCAAAACCAACATTAGCCTTGGAATATACATTTGGAAGAAGAGCAAAAGGACATAACACAGTGAGTACATAGGAGAAGGACTATGCTTTATTTGTTGTACAGCTCAATTATTTATAACATCTAACTAGTGACTTCTCTGTTTAGATCAGCAGTCATGTGCAAGACAAGGTATTTCAATTTGTATTTCACATCAGTTTTTGGAATAAAAGGCTAGTTTTCATTTTATTTTTAATCCATAGTTGCTCTTTTTCACTGAGACTGTATGAAGCCAAGATGATTTAACACTTACATTCACACAGAAATTGATACCATTTGTAACTGTGAACAGTGTGACCATGCATATGTTTAGGTGCTTGCAACTCATCACTTTTTCAGTTGGCACATAGTTTCTCTTTATAGAATCTAGGCTTTCTTTAAAAAAATCTTTGTCATTGTGGTAGCTTAAATGTGAACTGAATATGAATTGATCCAGTAATAGCTGATTTACAATATTTTAAGTGGTCCAAATAGTACTCTGCAGAAATACCTAAGCAAAGGTATTTCTGCACACTGCTGCTTCATGTCAGTTTGTCTGCTGCATGAGCTATCATGTTCACAGCTGTCTCAGGGTATCTGTGATACAACATTGCATTGTGCCATGTAGACATACCTTTTTCTGCAGACAGTTTGCAGGAATAACCAGAAAATCTTGACAGAATATAAGCAGAGGAGACAGTATAGGCATAACATTAAAAAATTAGTGTTAGTCTTAGAAAATACTTCAAAGAAGTAAGACCTGCTTATTAATCTCAGTGGTGTCAACACTGAAATCTAATTTCAGTAAATATTGGTATCTGCTTCAACTCCAAAACATGTTAGCAGAAACACTGAAGTAATGCCAGTATGTTTTCTTTTGTTGCATGCTTTAAAGGACAAATATTGAGACAGTTGCTGTTGGGATGCTTGGGTGAGCAACAAAATCTGGTCATCTCTAAAATGCAAAGTCATCTCTAACCTTTTGTGAAAGAAGGAAAAGAGGAAGTGTATTCTTTGCTAATATAAAACTCTTCAAAATACCTTAGGTGTCTTCATGGATCCAGTTCTCCTGATTAATATCTTACATAGTTACTTTACATAAGTAAATGTAATGAGGATGTAAAACATTTCCATTCTGCTTTGATGGTGTTTCACACTCACTTTACTTTTTACAGGAACAAATGACTACACGCAATGTCTAGAAATGCAACAAAAAGTTGAATTCTGTGGGTTTAAAGTAGCAGTGCATGTGAGGCCCAAGACTTCTACCCATCCAGTCACTTCCTGTCCAGAGAGGCACATATCCACCCTTATTCACCTTGACTCATAGATTCATAGATGCTAGGGTCAGAAGGGACCTCGACAGATCATCGAGTCCAACTCCCTGCTCGGGGCAGGAAAGAGTGTTGGGGTCAGATGAATGAGCTGTCTTTTGTTCTTCCATGCTGTTCTGTTCTGTTATCTTTCTTGAAATGGCATGGAAAAGAAATTGGACATGCTGGGGGAAAGATAAAGTTTGTTATGGATGGGGAGAAGTTTTGAATAAATGAAAGATTATTGCCATCTAATTTGCCCTTTAGCTTGCTAGAATCAGTGGGTCCTGTCTTACAAATTCTCAAGTATTATCTCTCAGGCAAGGATAAATGAATACCAGAGGCTTAAGCCAGTGATGACATTTATTACACTGACTTTTTAAGGTATTCATCCTTTAGCATTTTGTGGCAGCTTCCTAATAAGGCAATCACATGTATGCTGGGAGCCTTTCACAGGTGTCACTTGGGATTTATTTAGCAGGCTTCTCTTCTGGAAAGAACTTACAGAATATCTTCCTGTTCTGTGTGCTGCACAGAAGAAATGTATCCTGTGTTTGTTTGTACGTATCTTCTTGGTGTTATATGGAAATGCAGTTTTCTAATGCAAAGAAACTGTTTTGCAGCCAAAAGACATCGCTCATTTTTGGGAACTAGGTGGTGGAACCTCATTATTGGAATTGATTCAGATACCAATAACTAGTGACAACATAAGGTAAGTAGTGAGGAACCTCTACAGTGTCAAGATTAATCTTAGCTTTCATTCTCCATTATTGTAGAGAAATCTTTCAAACTGCAAGCTGTTCATTAGTTTTGAAAGAATGTCACCATGAATTTTTCTAAAAATCAGTCCTTCATAGGAATGGAGGGATGCCCCAGCTACCACTGGTGAATAGCTGTGAGCTCCTTCCTGACAGATTGCTTGCAAATATGCTTGGTATTTGGAAGTCTTTAACCACAAAATGAGGTATCAACATGGGGGGAAGTGGCTCAGCCGTTCATAAGTAGAACAAAGAGCTACAGAAGAGAGCACCCATTCTACTCTTGCTGTCTGAAGAACAGTAGCAAACCCAACATGGGAGAATGCAGAAGGTAGGCTTTGGCCTATGATAACTGTCAGCAACACTAAGAACCAACTCCTTAGGAAAGAAAGGGAAGGGATTTTAGAGGGAACAGAGAAAGCAAGCATTGTGGAGAGAGCAAAACATGGGGTAGAAATAGGAAGTGGTATAGACATGATGGGATAGCAGGAGAAGAACAGGAAAATACATGTGGGAGACAAGGCCAGGTTACAGGATTTCCATTGGAAAGAAGTGAATTTGGGAAAAACAGAAATGGGAGGAGTTTTTTTTTCAGTTAGGGTGAGGATAGGGTAGGATTTTGCAGACTTAGGTTCCTTATCCTACTGTGAAGATGAGGACTTGTGAATTAAGCTTGTTAATATAGCGCAGCAAACAGCTGCACAGGACCGCTGAAGTGCTGCAGCTGTTTTCCCTAGTTTTTATTTCAAAGAGTGATGCTTCCCTGATCAGTAGTACATCAGCAGTCCTGGACTACTTATCAGAGAAGTGACATAGCAAAGTGAAAATTGCATCAAATAGCCAAATGTCTTTAATTCAGAAATCTTCTGAGAACTAGGCATGTTGCATACAAGTGAGCTTACTCTGTAGGCTTTCTGATTGCTTTTAATTTGGAGTCCATATACTAAATCCTAGGGTTGCTAAGCAGCATAGCTGAAGCAGACTTTGAATCCAGTCAGTCCTCTGCCACAAGTGAGGTTCAGTTTTCGAGGCATGTTTCAAGCATGCCTGTTATGTTTGGTGTTTTAATAGTTTCTCTGCTTTATGGCATACCTTAAATCTGATCAACCCGTTGTTATGAATAAGAGCCTTGTTCTGTCAGGGATTCTGAGCCACCACTCAAATCGCCATCCTTAGCTCTTCATTTGAGGTCTCAACTGACTGATACAAGTAACATCATGGAAGAATTTTACTCATTACCTTTCTGCCATTACTTAAGTAGGGATTCCAGGTAAGCAAGATATACTGAGAACTTACTTAATGGAACCCCACAGATGCTACTTGCATTCAAACAAAATATCCAGAAATAATGTTTAAGATATATAAACTAGCTGTGGGGAGTGAATAAATTAAATGCTTTGATATTCAGGTGTAGAGACAATGGGGAGGATTTATCAGCACGCATCTAACCTGAAGGACTACCTGTCTTTACTGCCTAGTTTTGTCCCTGTTTTTTTTTTCATGTTTGTTCTTTTTAGCAATAGCTGTAAGGAAAAAGATCATATATGAAAAATGAAATTGTTTTCTTCAGCTGAATCTTTGGTACTTAAGAATTTTCTTCTTTAATAGGACATTTGCTATAGTTCTTGTTTTGGATCTCTCCAAACCCAGTGAACTCTGGTCAACCATGGAAGGTCTTCTACAGGTCACCAGAAACCACCTGAACAAACTTATAACTAAGTTGGGAAAGACAAATCCTAAAGTCGCTACTGAAATTCGAGAGATGTGGAACAACATACAGAAGGATCATCCGGTAAAAGTCTTCTGGTATTTTTTCCAGTTATCGTAAGCCTTTATACAGTTAAAGATAATGCTTGTGAACATCATAAACAACCCTTTTAGAATTTTATGCATGACTGAAAATCCATTTGATGTAGATGAACCTGTTCACTGGAAAATTATAGCAATTTAATGAAAATTCAGTAAGAGCAGAAACAAGGAAAGAAGGTTTCTTATATCTTTTTGTTAGACATCTAATGTGATTGTTATGGCATGTTACACCAATCAAAAGAAATAAGAGTTTTAGACTAGCAGTTTGATATTGATTTTATAATCTTTTTTTTAACATGAGATGAAAACTAGAATGTACAGAAGTCATCTGGCAAGAGAATAGATGAAAGTACAAATTTAAGCAATGAGTATAGTTATAAAGCCTTCATCATGACTATATACTTTGCATTTATTCAAATGTCTGTCACAAACTCAGTGCCTTTTGATAATCTGACAACTAATTAAATTATAAAGTTTCAGAAATGTTAATACTAGGCCTTTAAATGCAACTGCTAACTTTAATCTTTTGAAAAAGCTAAAATAAATTATGGAAATACAAATGAAAATGTATATGGCACTATGCAAATACTTTGTGTATTTAATGCCTAAACAAATATTCTACAGTTTACAGATTCAGAATATAAATTCAGCTGTAGTAATTTATATAAAATAATACAATAAATCAGATACTAACAGTTAAAATATTAAAAGGAGTGTTGTATTATATAAGAAAGCAAATGTCCACAATGCTCAGTAGTTCTTTTTCCTGTGTATAGCCCCAGTATTTGTGAGATAATCGTGTTTACTTTCAGATGAATAAGGGCTTCAGGATTGGGTCTTTACATTTATTGGCCTCTTGGGACCTTCCCAAGACCGCTAGTGTTGTTTTTCAACTTTTTTAGAAAAGGTAATTTCTTAAAGAAAATACTACATTGAAATGCAGCTGGCAACAAACAGGTCCTACAGATAACATACAGGGTTCTTTAGCCTTTAAAAATACAACTCTTTCCATTTGGGCAAAGGGAATAACATGAAAGAAACAGGCTTTTTACCCTTGGCAGGAGACAGCTCCTAGAGCGACATAATCATCACACATGCTGAATTAGGGTTTGTACTGAGTTCCTGTATATAAGAAAAAGCAGAAAGGAGGACTTACAGCCTTTTTAACTACTAAGATATTGGTGATATTTTTCAAATTACATCAGTTCAGTTCAACTCAGAAGCTAATCTTTGTGGGTGGGGAGCTTTGTCTTTTACAAAGGAAAAAGCACAGAGCAGATCAAGGGATCTCCGTAGGCCTTCACATGGTTATAGACGATGCTTGTGAAAAATTGGGGAACTGGTGAGATTCATAAAAGATTTCTACTAGGGGAATATTTACTGAAAGTCCTTAGGGATAAGGGAGAGAATAAATACATTAGGGGACTTGTTAAAGACATGTTTGAAGTATATTTGAAGACATTTTAGGGTCAATGAAACAGACACTATAATAGTGCTAATCTCCGTAAGCCACCTTATTGGTGTTATCCTGAATTAAGAAAGTTACTGTATTTACTCAATTCTAAGATGAGTGCCCCCCCCCCCCATCATTTAACGGGAGAAAAAAGCCCCAAGTCTTAGAATCATATATGGGGAGCAGGAGGCGGGGGTGTGCAAGCCGCTTCTGTGGAAAGGCTCTAGCCCCTGCCTGGGGTGTGGGCCCTAGTTGTAGCTGATGCCTGCTGTCCTCCCACCCACCATTTATGTACCTCCACATTTCCCCTCCCGCCAATGCAGCTTCTGTGCTTTTTCTTCTACCTCTGCCTTTGCTTTTGTTCCATACAGGCAGCCTCTGTCAGTGCTGCAGCCTGAGTCACTGAGCATAGCCCTGGTCCCACCCCATAGAAGCAGCATGGCACACAGTTTACACAGCTGCTACAGGGGCAGGGCTTGGGCCATGCTCATTGCCCCAGACTAGAACTGGGATGGAAGCTGGAGGTGTGGAGCATGGGTAAGAGTGGGGAGCAGAGGCTGGGGAGGGGAGAGAGGAGGAAGAAGCCTAGGCTGGTGGAAAGTGGTAAGGGGGAAAAAGCAGAGGCTGTAGGGGAGCAGGGAGGGAAGAGAGGAAAGCAGAGGCTGGGGAAAAGGGCAGGAGAGGGTGCAGAGGATAAAGGGGCAGCCCAAGGCTGTGGGGGGCAGGCAGATGACAGAGGGCAGGCATAAGCAGGGTGCAAACTGCTTGACTTCCCCACACTACCAGCCCCCCACTGCCTGCCCCCTTGCAGTGGGTGTGGGGGATGAATTAAAGACAGCCACCCAATAACTAGATTCGGTACAAGGAAAAGTATAACAAATTTATAAATTTTCCATGTATAGAATCTATTATGAGGGGATTGTCTTAAATTCAGTGTCATCTTAGATCCAAGTCAATACAGTATAATGATTTCCCTGCCCTTCATTTTCAGCCACCACATTTCAAGTGAATATGATGCCTGTGAAATAGATTAGCTTATTAACACTAATAAGAGAAATCCATTATTTTGACAAAATACAGGATAAATAGTGATTCAGGCTTCATCCTAACCCACTGATAATTTTTTTTTAACCCGTATGTGGAGGAACCACTATCTTCTGGAGTAGATAGAGAAGGTAGAGTTCAGTTATCCTGATAATATATTCATTATCCATTGTGTTGTAATTGCTAAAAGTTTCAGCCAGTTGTGAAGTAAACTTCTGTTCTGTAGAAAACAAGCTGAGAAAATACTCTCATTTCACACAGAACACTAAAAGTCTGTCATATGATGATAATTTTAAATAGCGACTAAATTGGACCCGATTTCAAACTAGTTAATTGCAAGTCTAATGCACCGTACTCTATTAGTCACTTGTCTACTTAATCTCTTTGTCAAGCATATGGAGTTTGATTGTAAGTTATTTGCACAAACTTCAAATAAACAATGCAATGCCTGTTCCTTAAGTTTCTTTTTGATATTACAGTTGTTTTTTATTGTACAGATTTTTAAATTTTTAAATTTTAAATTTAAATTAGGGGCAATCAGCACGGGTTCATCAGTGGCAGGTCCTGTCAGACCAGCCTGGTGGCTTTTTATGATCAGATCACCAGATCATTAGATGCAGGGGTAGCAGCGGACATAGTCTTCCTGGACTTCCAGAAGGCTTTTGACACTGTCTCTCACCTCGTTCTCATTAAGAAAATGGGAGGCTGTGGTGTAGACACCCACACAGTCAAATGGGTCGCCAACTGGCTGGAGGGCTGCACCCAGAGGGTGGTAGTGGATGGGTCCTTCTCAACTTGGAAGGACGTGGGCAGTGGGGTTCCACAGGGCTCGGTTCTCGGGCCCGCCCTGTTCAACATCTTCATCAGTGATTTGGACGAGGGGGTGAAAAGCACCCTGTTCAAATTTGCTGATGACACTAAGATGTGGGGGGATGTGGGCACAGTAGAAGGAAGAAGCAGGCTACAATTGGACCTAGACAGGTTACAAGGGTGGGCGGATGAGAACAGGATGGGTTTCAA